GGGTGGGTATAAGTGAAGATCACACCAGCATCTAATACCTTGTAAATAGATTTTTCCCTTTCAGTGTTCACCACTGTAAGAGCAGATTTGAGGGTTTATTTTCCTTGAAGCAGACGCTGTGCCATTTTTCTCTCTCATATCAAAGTGTTAGCAATTACTTAATGCCTTGCATTAAGTTTAATACGAAACCAATGGCTCATAGTTGCAGCTGGTTTTCTTTTTAATCTCATAACTATGTAGAAGTGATAAAAATGTTATGTACTTAATGCCAGGGCAATACTAGTCAGGTTATTAGAAGTAAGACTTAGGATGTAACTTAAATAGGGATGAGCATGCAGAGTGATTAAAACAGCAATCAGAAGAGCTCAGATCAATAAAATTAAGATGAAAAAAGGTCTTTTTCCTAACTGCTGTAAGCCTGATTCTCCCAGTCTAGCATTTTTTATCCATGTGAAATGGCAGTGAAGTGAATGAAGAATCCTGTTCTGGCAGGATTCTGCTCTTGGCTCATGCCCAGATGTGAATGACATAAAGGATGGCATCAGATACAAGCCTTTCTATGTTTCATTTAAGTACAGAAAGTAAATAAGTAGTTGTAGAATGGCTTGTTTATATCTTGCAAATAAGCATTTTTACTGAGGGGTGTTCTGTATTAGTTACAGCATTTTATGTCATTCTGACAAGGTGAAGACTTCTTAGCACTGCAAATTTGTGCAGGTATTGCAGCATCTGCATCGTGGTACCAGGGATCTGAGGAAATGTTATCTGGTCATTGTAAAATAGTTTTACTGACCAAGCAATAGCATCTCTTTTAAACATAATGCTATATACATTTTAACCTCTAAGCTAGACACAGTTAACTGCTGGCTTTGTGGGATATTGGCATCTCTGCTGTTTGCATTCACTGTGCATTTGTTGATCCTGTTTCCCTACACGTGGAAGCCACTAGGAAACAAGAATGCACAACAACTTGCAGAATTTAGCCTGTAATTTTATGCTCTGCAGTGAGACATACCTCCAATAATCTGACAGGATGAAAGCAACACGTGTCATATCAGCCCCAAATAAATATCCTGTCTCCTCTACAGCAGCTGCACTGAAAGAGATCTGACATATTGGTGTTATATCAGCAGAGCTACTAATCTCAGATACCAGTGATTCCAATGCCAGGGGAGAGAACACTGCACAAATGGAGGTCATTCAATATCCTCCAGCACTTTGGACAAACGTGGCATTTTGGACTGTCCCTGCTAATGGCAGAACACAGTGCTGATGCTAAAAATTGCTGTTGCAAAGCTCCTTGTGCAGGTAATCTGCAGTGTCTGCTCAGATGGGCCTGTTTATCTTGGTACCTTGCAGAAGCAAAAGCCATGGTCTAGGGTTTAGTGGTAAAACCAGAAGTCTCTGAGGTATCACAAACAAAACCTTTCTTTTAGACATTTAACCCTCTTCAGGGAATACAATATTGCTTTCTAGACCTTTCATCTCCTCGTGCCAACAAGGAGCTGCCCAGGAGCTGCAGTGCTGTGGCAGGACCACAGGAGTGTCAGAGGCCACACGAAAAGCCCACGTGCCTCTTTCTGTGCTCCTCGAGTGGCAGAATTGCAATTAGAGGTACAATAGTATAACTGAAATCAGGAAGATCTTGGGAGAATTTTGCTATTTTCAGTGTCGTGAGGTGGCACATATGAAGAATCTTTGTCCTTGGCAACAATTCCTGAGCCATAAGGTTGAACCTGTTTACTCAGGCACAGAGCCATTCTGTCAGATGGGCATTGGTACCCCAATTGTAGAGACCCTGTGTTGTGTGTGCATCAGGTGTAAGTGTCCCAGATAGGATTCCCAGCAAGGATTGTCCATATGGCTGTTCATTCTAATTTTATATTCCCTTGTTCCATTACTAATCCAGGTATGGGTCTGATTATGTTTCAGAAATAGGGAACAGCTTTCTTTCTCCTTTCCTAAGTCCTCTTGCCCTCTTGTGTAACAGAGATCAGAGTAATGGTTTAGGAGAAGTTTTGGGAAGACAGACTTTCCTCCTTGGCCTTACCAGACCTCATCCTTCTGCATTCAGAGAAAGGAGAGCTTTCTAAATCTTTTCCCTTTCTAAGTAAAGTCCCTGTAGGCTCCATCAGAGTAAATCTCTGGCACCAAGCTGGATTTCACATGCACAGCAGAGTGGAAATCTGTGTTCAGTCACTCCCTGCACTACTTTACAGGATGTTTTGCCTGAACTGGTATAAAACATTGAGGTTTCAGGGTTCAAGAAAGAGCAGGGCACTGGGGATTGTCTCCCTGGCTGCTCCCACACAACCACCACCTGCTTTGCCTCTTGATTTCTTCAGTGGCCTGTTTTCTGTAAATCAGCAGTACTGCCAGCACTGCTTCTGCTCTACTTTAGACATGGCTGGGGTACAACATCTTACTTTGCTTATTGTACTTCTTGTGTTTCATTTTCACATGAATTGAAGAGATAAGGATCTGATATCTGTGGAATGTGCAGAGTGATGCCAGGTCATGCTCTTGTCTGATAGCTGAAGCAACTGCACAGACATCCAATTACTTAGTACAAAGCTTTGATAATCTAATTTTCTTGCTCATCTCATGCAGTCTGTCCCATACTAATGCAGCAGATTTTAAAAAATTGTCCAAAAAGTCTTATTTTTCCTGCTATTCCTTTTGGAATTAGCTTTACTAAGTATTGGGGTAACACACTGAAGCAGAGCTGCAGAGCCAGAGTCTTTTGATTTTGGTTTAATTTAAACTTTGAATAATGGATTATACTTTTCTTCTGGACTTGGAATGTATCATTTAGATTAGCCACAGAGAGGGAAAAAGCAATGTATTTTTCAACTGTATATGCCTCAATGAATGCTGACAGTAAGCTATTGCATTTGAAAATACCCGTCCTACTCTAAGTCTTAACTTGCTTTTATCTATATATATATACTTTTTTCACCCACTTTTAAAATGCATCTGCCTCTGGTAGGCTGAACCAGCTTTAGCTGTGTATATGACTGCAAGCTGCACTTTAATGCCATGTAACTTCCTGGGATGTTTTAAGTAGAAGAATTATGGCTGTGCTTTGATGGACTCACTTATTAGTATCCTCTCTCATTGCTGGAGCATCCCAAAATCTTTGAGGACTTCTGTTGCACAGGATAGAGGCATAAAAGTAAGTGTTGAGATCAAAAAAATTGCAGTTCAGACTGGATATGAATAATGTTCTGCTCAGATATTTTGATTGTGGTCTGGGATTTGCCATTTTCCAAATGTTTATGGAGTGTAGTCCAGCACAACAAAGCCATGCACAGTTTGAGTTCTCCAGGCAATATTATAAAAACTAAAATAAGGAAGCAAACATCATCTGCAAACCATAAGGAGTACACAGAGGAACAGTCCCTTCAGTTTAACATGGCACCACTCAGTTCATGGAACAAGCATCAAGGGCAAATCTGCATCCACACATATCCCATTCCACTGGTGTGTCTGGATTTTGGTAAAGCAGAGTGTTGGTCTTTCTGTCAGGATGTTTAATTAACTTCAGCTTGACTTTTGTTTCTGCAGTTTACAGTCATTTAAATCAGAAACACTGTTTTGTAACTGATAGAACAGTATGTAATGGTCCTCATCTTGTATCCTTTTTAGCCTGAATTTCACATCCTCGTTATAATTTTTAATGACAACAACAATTTTTATTATTTTGCTGGAACTTTTCCCAGGGTAATTGTGTCTTTTGTAAATAATATGTGATTTAGAAATGAAACTGCAGCAGAAAGCTGCTAAATCCAGCATCTTCTGTGACTACATTTTTATGTTAAGAAATTCTTGGGCCTACTGCAAGAGGCTGAAAGTGTCTTAAAAAGAAGATCAACCCAGAATTTAATTTAATGGTGCACAAGGTAACTGAGCTTTCTGTATCTCAGTGAGAGTTGCTCTAAATAGGAACATATCAAGCAAAATACAAGTGAAGGCAGAACATATTTGCATATCAGCCCTGCTCTTATGGAGATAACTGCACATTTATCTTGCTGTGTGTCTGTGTGCCCTATGAAAATATTTCCAACTAATGGAGATTTTACATTTTGACCACAAAATTTGCTCGGGTTCCAATTCCCTTCAAGACAAAGAGAAGTAATGACCTTATTAGACCAATCAAGACCTTTCTGCTCTTGGCTTTTCAGGAAGTTAGAGAAGTCCTTCAGGCAACAGTCTCATCAGGGGCAAACCTTATCCAGAGCTTGGCCTTTTTATTGCTACAGCCTTCAGAGCATCGATCAGAGCAGCCTTTTCTTGTGCTGCTGCCCTGTGCTGTCAAACACAAGTGTAGAAGAGCTGCCTGTCCCACACATGGACCAGCAGCAGGGTGGCCATGGGGGGGGATCAGTAACAGGGGCTCCACTGCAGACAGGAAAGATGGAAAAAACATATTCCTGCCTCAGCATGGCAGCACGAGCCAGGATTTGGGAAGCCCCGGGCTGTGCCTTTCTGGTCTGGCTTTGGAACTCAAAGCAGAAGCAGTTACAGACACAGCTGCTGTTGCCTGTGGTTCGCTCTGCCACTTCTTCCCCCTCAAAGTGAGACATTGTTGGAGAACTTGGGAGAGGAAAGGGAGAAACTGCTTTTCAATCCACACCTTGGACTCAGGTATTGACCACTGAGCCCACCCCTTTTTCTCTGCATTTTTATCCCATGTTGAAATTCTAGGTGGCATAGAAACCATCAATAGTGCTATAAATCCTCATTTTCTACTTGAATTGTTAAGTTTAGTGATCAATTCTTCAAAAGCAGAGTGTGATTTACTGCATGAGAAACAGGGACAAGGTTCTCTAGGATACAGATGCTATGCATGATTCTGTAAATTGAATAAAAATCACTTAGAAACTTGAGGAATGACTCTTCCTTAGAAGATGGTACCCTGATTAGAGTTTCCAAAGTTTGGCTAATTAAGTCCTATGTTTTGCCTTAATTTTATGGTTTCTTTGATTATTTCTTTCTAGCTCAACAAAATTCACCAAAAATCCATGAAGGCTGGTGGGCTTACAAGGAGGTGGTCCAGGGAAGCTTTGTTCCAGGTAAGTGTAATTTAAAAACTTTAGTCTTTATCGAATTTTTTTTTTTCACCAGAATTAATATATTTGGATTTGGGGAAGGTTTTTTTGGTTTGGTTTGTTTTATTCATTGCAAAGATTTGAAGTTCACAAGGACTCAACACCACATTATAGTGAAGCATAGACTAGGTTCTGTCAATACATCATCCAAAGACTGTGGCTGTTTTCCAGGAAAGGAATCAGCTTGATGACATTCCTGGTTTCTCTCAGTAAAACTTAAGTGATGCTACTTGGTGAACAGGAAAGGGAGGACTGAAAAGCAGTACTGTTAACTGGATTAACTTATCTGATTCAGCACTTCTAGATAATCACATTTCTGCAAATTTAGGAATACATGAGGACAGGAACCCAATTGAAAATGAGCCCAGCATGCAAGTTTCTCTGCTTTTTGTTTTGGAAACAAGAAACAGTGAGTGAAGAAAAATCATAACTTGGCTTCAGTGAGATTTAGTAAATGATAAATAACAAAGAGGCAGCTAAAAGGATTCTGTTCAGTATGTTTTCAGTGCAATAGAGGTGAATATGCATTAATTTATGTATATTAGCTGTCTCTTGGATGGTAAAGTAGTGCTCCAAGTTCTATCATGAATGCACCATAAAAATTGCCACATGATCTTGGCTATTGTGTAAGCTATTCCTAAAGACCTGTAGATTTGATCTATTATCAGCTATTTTCACTGTTGTGAGAACTCTAAGAATCTTACAATCAAAATGCCGAATGTCTTGGTAGGAATATTTGTGCAAATGAGGGGAAATATTTCAACCCTCAAGTTTCTGGCACTGAAATGCCTGCGAAAAGCACGTATGAAAATCAACATCTACAGGCCTGGAGCTTAATTACATGTTGGTGTAGCATAAAGTAGCTTTTCAGATTTCCTTGAGATTGGTTTGGGCTGTCAGCGACACTCCAGTGTGTTGTTGTGCATGTTTAGTTCCTAATGCTGGCAGCAGGGGAAGAAACCTGGAGAATACAATCACCTGCTTTCAAGATACTTCAGCCTTCCCAATTTGCATGACTCAGGCAGATGCCCAGGAGAAAATGAATGAAAAAAAAAATATTTGCTGAACAGACCTAAGCTTAAAGTTACTGAGAAAAATAATTCAATTTTCAGGGATGTAAGGAAATGTATGTGTATCAAGTAACAGTACTTGTGGTATTCTAGTCTTAATACTGTGAGAAATTTGGGCTTGGGAACACCCTTAGAAGATTAAGGAGGGAACAGTCATGACTCAAGCTTCCAAGAAAGAAAATCTTTTAGGCTGGTGTGGAGGGACACCTCCTTTCTGAGAACACCCCATGAGTGGAATATTGGACTAACCTGGCACACATCCTCAAGAACTAGTGCAGAAGGACAGTCAGAAACAGCACCCTGAAGAAGCCATGAAGAAAGCAAGGGTAATTTGGGGACACCTTCCTTTCAGGCTGCTCCCTTTCTTTCAGACTCAGCTCTGCAGCCTGTAACCCTCAGCGGAAGAGAGACATCGCATGAGATTTTACAAAACAAACAACTCTCTTTTTTTTTTTTTTTTTCCCAGCAGCACCTAGATTTTGGAGCCTTTGAAAACCATATTTAAAGCATTTCAAGGCTGCATTTATGGTTCTGCTCTCAGACTAACACATCACAAAGGAGATGTTAGTGCATATTAAGTTTACCCATCCTGGTAGGAGCCACATATCAGATCTTGCCTGAGATGCTAATTAGCACCTGAGAGGTGAGAGCTGCAGGCAGGCTCAGGAGCTACTGCTGAAGTTGCTGACTGATGTGCACTGAAGCAAACAGCTACAGCCATCTGCTAAGATGTTTTCTTTCCACAGCTGTTTGTCCTGACCCAGAGCTGGAAGTTAACACCCCCAAAGATATTAAAAGGGAGTGTTTGTCCAAGAGTCTGTCACTGAAGCTCAAAACTGCCATCTAAGCTGATATGATTGATGTGAATACAGCTCTTGAGCTGCTTGGGGGAGCCCCCACAAGCACAGAGATGATTAACTGGGGGCAATAGCGTTGTGAAACACAGCAGGAGGAGATGCTGGAGTTTGTCTATCACAGCTTCAGCTGGGTGAATACTTTTTGCCTACTTCAAAGCAAAGTCAGTGTCTCCCTTTCAACTATCACTCCTTTCATGTATAGCTGTGTAAGAATGCATTCAGGAGAGTAGCACAATGTGCCCAGGTTAGAATATGCCATTCATAAGTTTTTCTGCTTAATAATCTGTTTTGGATGCATTTAAATCAAGTCCTAAAAAGTGCTCCAGATCCTGTGCAAATTTGTCGTTGAGCAGTTCATGAAATCAAACCATATTTCACTACATTCCCAAAATTCCAGGCTCCCTATATTCTGGGATAGATTTTAGAAAAAAATTGTTTTAAACCACTAATATTTGTCTGGACACGGGAGTTTTTCCTACTGTAAACACTTGCAATCACTGATGTGTATCTACAGGCAGGAAAGGATGCAGGCAGAGATGAGGTAGAAGACCCCTCACACCATCTTTCCCAACTTCCCTGCTTGTGCTGCTCAACAGAGGAGGCAGAAGTGGGAACTGGCAGGTTCTCTCACTGCAGGAACTGGCTCAGGTCTGTCTCGGTGCCCAGCCTTGCAAGAGGTGCAGAGTCATCAAATGCAGGAAGGAAGGTGCATCAAGGCTGGATCTGTGTGTGCTACTAAAGCATAAACCACCCTCCCATCTCTCACCTTCTTTATAAGCAAAGAACTTGCTCTTATGGTTTAAATCATGTAGGCAAACAAAGTAGAAAGTAAGTAGTGCTTTAAAATGTTAATCAAATGCAAATTAGGTTCCAAATTAAACTTCAGGGAGTGTTCAAGGATGAAGAAGAAATACTTTCCTTTATACATGGTGATTTGCATAATAATCAAATAATTTATATTATTACAAACTTTCACTACATAGACTTTTTTTGGTATGGAATATCAAAGTAGTTCATGATGGGTTAAAATACATTTAAATAACCTTTTTCTTATCTTTTGTTTGGCTGAGTAGTGCTGTGACTGTGACCATGTTGTGTCACTGAAGTAGTGCAAGCAATTGCAGGGTGGCCAAGACAATCACATTTCAAACTATTCTGTACCATTTCTGGTACTTCAAAGAGATGTGCAGAACCTTTGATACTTTACTCTCATGTGTCTGCTTGTATTGATTCTTTTCATACTGTTCCTGTTTTTTCATAGCATTATGAAAGTGGGCTTTGCTAGGCATAAAATATAAAGGTGGTTAAATCTAATTTGTGAGCATGGAATTCACTTGCCAAAACTCCATCCTGTTGCAGAAATTTTGGACTATGTGTGAGTAAGAGGGCGTAAGTGTTTCTTTCCCAGGGAAGATTACTCTCTCTTTAGGACCCTCCCTGAATTACTCCAAGTTACTTTACAAAGTGTTAGTGCTCAGCTGGGAGGAGGAAGTCCATCAAATAACAAGTGAACATTGCTGAAGGGGCAGATGTTCTTCTCCTTCCTTATAATCAAGGTTGTAAAACATCTCTAATCCCAAATAAAAACTACATCCACTATGATTCATTATTGGTTACAGATCACCACATCAAAGGCCACCTGTTCCCCTGAGATTCTGAGATGAGAAATCCCCTGTTCATGGTTCCTTTCACAACTCATTTTACTATAAAGGGGGAAAGACTGTTGGAGTTTGGTGATGCTGTTCCTGCCCTTTGCAAGGATCACATTGATGGGATTATGCCCTAACACAGACCAGCTGGCAAAGCTACATTGACTGGAGGGAGACACGGGCAGTGATTGGGAAGCACAGAGAAATTCCCTCCAAGGAGGAGATGAATGAATTTGGTAATGATTTACAAGAAAAAGGAGGTCTGAAACAATTGACAAACTTGATCATGAGCGCCAAAACCTCATTTTAAACTTCCTGCTATCACCATGTGCTCTTGTTACGCCCCACAGAGGCATCTCAAGTGTCCCTGGTTTCTCCCGTGTGAGCTTCAAGATTTGTTTCTATTGCAGCTTTGAGATTTCTTTTAAACTACACACTTCTTTATGCACTTGTCCAAAAATAGCCTTTGATGGGCAGGTCACGGTAAGAACCATGAAGTGTTTGTCCACGGCTTGAGACTGAGAGATGCAAAACTTCAAACCCACACCCTTCAGCTCCTCAGTTTATGCCATCCTGCAGTCACAGAGGGGTCTGTTTCATACACTGAGACTGCCTGAATATTACAACACAAACCTGCTGATTGCTACTCCTGCACTGCTCGTTTTTCTACTAACTATAAAATTTTTTCTAGTCTTATTTTGGGACTTCAGGAGGCTGCAGCATCACTCACCATCTGGTGCATTCTGCTTGTCAGTGAAAACAGTGGTGCTGTCTGAGCTACAGCAGTGTTTTAAACAGTCTGCACACACTCTTCAAAATCATACAGTCTGGTGCTGACTCTGAAGAATTAACCAGCCATATATAATTATTTATTGGAACAATAATAGCAGTTTTTCTTTTAGAAAGCAATATATTGGAACAGCTCATTTCTTCAGGGTGATAGAGCATAGATTCTGGAAATCATTCACTTATTGATTTAAACTTAGATTAGTATATATATTTCACCTTTGGTTGTCAGTTAAAGATAGCTTGAAGGAAATATATTTTGTAACAAATATTTTCTTGGTTTCTTACTTCCTTTGGTGATTCTGCAAAAATTGGCAGTTTTCATATCATGTAACTAGAAAGGAAACTAGATTTTTTGGTATGTTTTTACATGGAAGTTAAATATAATTCAACATGGACTTTCTCCCTGTCACAGCACCTGGTGGCTCTGTGATTTGGTTCCCACAGCCCCCTCACTGGCAAGGAGCTCAGGACTGAGGGTCACCCTTTACAGGTGCTTTTGTTACTGTCACAAAACTCAAAAACTTTCTGTTTCTGGGTCCTTTCATTCCTTTGAACACCCATCTGCACAATCCTTTTCACAAGAGTCTTTTCAGTAGAGG